ATTAATCCCGTAAGCTACAGGATTCCTAAGACAACTTTTATTTATTGCACAATTTGTAATATCTAGTATTTATTTAAATATTTACGCTAGATTAGACATGGATGTACATATTTTATTCTTTATTTATTTTATTTATCTAGTATTGTATTATGTAGGAAATAGTAGAGTATGTGTGTAATTTCCCTATATTAAATCTATATACATATATATATATATATATAGGCAAAATTGCATATAATATCACGACCTTTATCGAGATTGCAAAATAATCACGACTTTTTAACTTTTGCATACTATATCACAACCTTCAAATTTTTTGCAAAACGGTACATACTTTTCGTCTTCTGCCAACTCATATGCTGATGTGTATTTATCAGACTTTTTTTTCCATCTCATCAGTGGAACGACGTCATTTTGTCGGACGTTAAGTTGGTTTTTTTTTTCCACGTCATCCCCAAACGACGTCGTTTTTGTTACCGTGGATTTTGTATTTAAATTAAATTGCTGCTGAAGAACCCTAATTTCCTAAATTGAAGCAAGAACCCTATAATACAATTGCTCAGTTTCAAAGACCACTTCATGTCGACCGGTTCCAATTCATGTAGGAAGACAAGTTCGGCAGCAACATTCCCAAGTTCAGCAAATCCGAAATTAGAATGTAAACATAGGGTTGAGCCCGATCTTCTTACCTCTCAAATTGATTTGAATCCGTGTAGGAGGTACTACCGGTGCAAATATCGAATGGTAAGTGAATTTAAAAAATTAATTCCTAGCAAGTTGAATGAGAATATTCTTACTGATGAGCAATTGCTCAAAGAAAAGAGGATGTGTGTTGTTTGTATGTGAAGTCTGAGTAATCTTTTTGTATGAGTATTTTGTGAGGATTGACATATGGATGATGGTTGTGTGTGAATTATGTTAGAAATCTGAAAATAAATAAAGGTCTTAGTGAGGAACATGATGTGTGTTGTGTATTCTTACTGTTGTTTGTATTTAGACATCTTCAGTTGGAGATGAAAGGTAGAAGATGAAAGCTTGACATATGAAAGCTAGTAGGACTGTCCATATACTGCACTTGTATGTTTTCATATACTGAATTTTGAATTTTCATTTCATCTTGTATTGATTTTGAATATACTAATTTTTTATACATTACAGAATGATGATTGTAAGTATTTTGCTTGGTTTGATCCCGAGCTCCCACCCTTCCAGAAAGCTAGTTATTTGAAGTTGAAAGGTCGGGTTTAAGTGTTGGAAGAACAATTGAAATGCAAAATGGTGATGGAGAAACTTTTGTCTAAAAGATTAGAAGTTAAAGACAATGAGTTGGATCTGTTGAAAAGGGAAAATGCTGATCTTCAGAATAAAATTGCAACCATGGATCAGAGGAAAAAAACAGAGAAGAAGTTGCTGATTTTAGTCATTATGTTTTTTTAGCCATTTGGTTCTTTGGTGTTTCTAATGAGAAGAAGTTAATGCTTATGTAGCTTTGGACAAGGATATTGTGTTTGTTGTTGGTTGTAGCTCTGAACAAGGATGTTATATTTGTTGTTGGTTGTAGGTTTGAACAAGGATATTGTGTT